TGCTTACCTCCAAAATATATGTGCTTGATTGTAAACTTCTGGAGGGACTTCAAGTAGTCCTTGAGTGAGAAAACACAACTTATTAAAAGCTTGATCACATCATAACCAGGCCACAGATGAGATGTTTGCACCTCTGAGATGGTGACTGATGTTTCTCTGGATGAATGAAGGCACTCACCCACACAGCCCAGTACGCCTTCACTCTGTAGCCCAGGTTTAGAGCTCTACAGGTGAAGCGGAGGCAGATGAAGCCCTCAGACACCAGAGCTTTGGCCAGAGACACCAGGTGTGTGAAGTTCATGTCTCCTCCTGCTCCGTGTGTCAGGATGACGGCTGTGTGGACGTCTTCCCCCGAGGCAGGGACACACAGGGCGGCATCCAGGTGCTTGGACCCGAACGGCACCTTCAGTCGCTCCTAGAAGCCGGAGAGCAGTTTATCTGGACGGGGTTCGGGTCGACGGCTCACATCGGGGAACTACTTTCTACAGACTTTCAGTTAAAGCTGAATGGACTCATGTGTAGCAGCTTCTCCACCTGACATGACTTCTTGTACTTCTACTATACAACATCACACTTTATATGTAAACATAGCAGAGCGGAACCAAGCTAGCTAGCTGTGAGACTTTCAGGTGATGAGTGCAGGTGTGTAGCTTTAATTTCCGTTACATTTACCGTAAAGTTACCACAAAGCCGTAAAGTTTGAGCTGATTCTACATAGAAGTCCTTCTCATCTTTGTAAAGGCACTCATGCAGCTTTAACAAGAGATGTTTACCTCCTCAAACTTGTCCATTGGGTTTCTTTCTTCTTTGAATGAAGCACCTAACTGCGCATGAGCGACACCGAGTGGTGAGCAGTCGTCATTACAGCGTTACCAGGACAACAGAATTCATCACCGCCCCCTAGTGTGCTGGAGGACCAGTCAGCCTCTTCTCGTACTTTATTTTCATGTCATGTCATTTAACCCTCCTGTTGCCTTCAAATTCACTGATTTTATCCTCGAGTTCAATCTGACTCCAGCAATTTAAACCTGCAGAAAACACCATAATTAAAATTGTTTTTGTGTCAACAGCGATTTAAATAAAACTGAAAAAATTATGTCAATGACTTATTTAGAGATGTTAAACATTGAATGGGGTCAAATTGACCCCAAAGAAAATGGGAGGGTTAAATATTTATGCTGTTTTGGGTTCCACCTTGCTTACTGGGTGTTGATGGGGTTTTTTTTTTTAAGTGGAACTGATTGAGTGGATGTGCTTCTGATGAGACATGTTTGAGTGACGCACGCTTTGACAAAATGGTGTCAAACTCTCATTCTACATATTTTGTTCTATTTAACTACAAAAAGTTTCACGTGTGAAGATTCTGTGAAGTCAAACGTTTACGTTAATTTAATCAACAACAAATAAGTCTATTGTTAAACAGATATTCTCACAACGTTTTTCAGTTCATGAGACCAGTATTGGAATTAATTCATGTTCTGATGAGTTTGTGGTAATGAGCAGCCATCAAAGCGGAAAGTTTTGTTTGTTCACATAACTGTTCAAGCTGGTCACGAGGTTATTGGATTTTCACTTCTTGTTGTTTCTTGTCAACAACCACAAACTTCCCGACTCGTATGTTACAGGAGCCTCAGAGCGAGCAGGAATCCTGTGTGTTGCTCAACGACTCCACATCACATCCGTTATCTCACAGCAGCTTTAGGTTTTGCATGTGTGTAAACGCTCTGACTTGCATGTAGAAAACAAATTAGTTTCAACATATAAAAAGGGGGAAATTTGTTTATTAAAAAATGAGAATGTGAAATTCATATCAAGACATTAAATTCACATATTGATAAAAAAAAAAAAAGAAATGATTTGATGATGTATGAGATATGAAGATTTTCCCTGTAGCCGGCTGTTAAATTCGTCCATCAAAGTTCATCCTTTGCCTGAAAAAAATAAACAAGAAATCCTCAAGTTAGAATCAGAAAGCGTGGTGACGCTGCAGATGGACAGATCCTAACAGAAAGTATTAGTTGGATTCGTTATAAGAAATAAGATCGTAAGTTTACACAAAGACCTACTTTGCAGTAAATGTATAATCTGATCTAATCTAATATAAAATAGGACACATCTGAGACAGTGATGTCGTCTAAACCTTCACTCTCTCAAACTGGTCTCCACATTTGTTCAACTTACTGTACTTTACATAGGTGCAGTAGCACTGTACAACCACCAGAGGGAGCCACACACTGTCCTGTGGTTAGCTCTGTTATGAGTTTACAGTTGATATTAGCATTGTTTATTTCCTTCATTATTAACGCAGATGAAAAGAATTGTGAAGAAATGTGGCTGCTGCAGTTAGAAGAAGGCTGCTTGAAGACTATCTGACATGTCACAGGAGTTAAAACCACGGCTGGAAATAATGACATTAACGACGGCTGCATTCCATTTAGCTGCACCAGTTTCAGGGTTTTGGTATCATTAACATTTCCACGCTGTCATGGCTTCTAAGGGAAAACTAGAAAGAAAACGTCCACATTATGCAGCTTCTCATACAACTGATGAAGCACACTGAGCTCCTTTACCCTGGTCCTGTGGCAGTAACATGGAAACAGGTCGTCAGCAGGCTGCTCCACCAGCTCCATGCCCTCACGAACCTTCGGCTCTGTGACCTGGAGTTTGGCATACGCCTGCAAAAAGAACCTCACAGAGATAAGTATGGCATCCAAAAACACAGAAATATTGCAGTATTCTGTGACATCTGTGTGACTGTATGACAAGGAAGTTTAGGAATACTTTCTCAATCCATAGATTTTATAACTCAACTGTAGAGACGTTACCTTGAACAGTTTGTAGTAGTAGCAAAATATACGGTCTCCCATGAGGTTAGCGCGGGCGAACCGCTGACCTGCAAGTGCAATTTTCTTTGCCTGTAATATCAAGAATCACAGCAACAAGAATAAAAACATGACTCTGATGTACAGGAAGTTAGTGATGGTTATTCTCGTTGACACCGATATGAATCCAGCGATCCGTCATCACCTCTTCATCGTGGTCCCGAGCCCACTGGATCTTTTCCAGCAGGTCTCCCAGGTCCGCCCTGATGGGGATGTAGTGCTCCCACGGCCGAAGCTCGTTGTAGAAATGCTCGTAGTAGCCAGAGTCCTGCTTCAGGACCACGCTGTCTCCCGCCAACAGGTACGGCAGCCGATACGCCGCCACGGTGCCGTCGATGTTGATCTGGTATTTGTACTGGTGGTGGACAAAGGATGGAAACAACAAATAATTATTAACATTTGTTTTTCGACTGTGGCTGATGCTGAAACCAGTAAACTTGACCTCAGTGGGTTGTTTTGTGCTGTGCTGATTGGATATTTTCTGGTTGTGAAACAATCCACTCACAGCTGGAAAGTCAAACATGAATTCTTACTGGATCTTGCACAACTACCAAGTTTAATGAATTTACCTTGAAGAAGTCGAAGAACGAGACGTGCTTGACCAGCGGCCCGTAGAGGCTCTCGTCGTGTTTGAAGAAGAAGAAGTTGGTGAAAGCAGCATCCACAGCGTCGGGGTGAGCCCTCGAAAGCTTGACCAGCTCCAGACGCTCCTGGCGACTGTCCCGGCCCCTCCAGAAGGCCGTGGCGTTCTTCTGTGGCCACGGCGGCCCGGTGTTGGCCTGAACCGACATCATGTCCAGGCTCACTCTGCTCATCGGATGGACACGATGGTCAGTAGAAAACCTTCCAAAGTCTCTGAAGCTTTCAATCTTGTCAAAGTTCTGAACTTCCTTAAGTTGCTAATGACAAAGTTTCCCTGTAACGAGCAGCTGTTTTGTTTTTAAGCTTCGTATAAGTTCAGAATTAAGTGTTAGCTGACAGAAACCTTCTTCCTGTCACACACAGATTAGTCGTGTCACACTCTGTAAAAGCGAATCACTTTATACAAACAGAGGTGAGATGTGGAAATAATGAGCATCGTGACACAGGTTGATTTCTTTTCCTTGTTCATTGTGCAGCGTGTCAGGCTGCGTGCACAGACCTGCATGTCCTCTGCTGCCCGCTCAGCAAAGCAGGGACGTCATTATGACAGTAATGGAAGAGCGTATGGGCAGCAGCCCTGTGATTATCTGAAGCTAATAAGAGTTCTGGAGGAGGATTCCTTCAAAGGCGTCTTGGTTATTGCCTGTGCTGCTCGTTTTCACCCAAGTTTTACTGCATAAATGACTTGGTGAAATAAAACCAGTACGTGTAGTGGTTCAGGGATGTTTTAGATTCCAGACCTGCTGAACATGTTGTGTTGTGGACTCGGCCTTACCGTCCCATGGTCTCCAGGACAGACTCGGTCAGGTCGTACGTGGGCATGACGATGTCTCTGGTGTTGTTGGAGCCACACCAGGAGAAGATGGGATGAATCTTCTCAGTGGGTTTCCTCTTCTCCAAAGGCCAGTCGCCCAGGTTAACAAAGAACTCGATATCAGGAAGCCTCACCTGGACACGTGACCACAGAGAAGATTATGGATGAAGCTCTTCTTTAACAATAAAACATGGAGCGCTATCCATTAGACATGTTATTTAAACAATAATATTGCATAATCAGATAAGAGATACTGCTGCAGAACGCTGTTTAAAAATTCATATTGCATGTATTTAGCAAATTCTTGTAGACTTTTAATGTGCTTTATTCTCTTTATATGAATGAACAATAGATGTAATATAGAAGTGACACGTTCACTAGAAAACGTCATCATGTCTACACGTGGTGATCTAAAACAAAATATTTCATTATCTGTAGAAAATTGAGGATGTTTCAGTGTGAGAGCAGCTTACCTTCCTGGTGAGCGACAGGAGAATGGCATCCATGAAAATCCTGAAGCCGACATGTTCTCCAAACGTTTCAACATAGATCTAAAAAGAAAAAGAAAAAATAGCACATAACCAGAGCTGTAGTGCAGCACACTATAGCACATGTAAACCAGGTAGACGTAAACGTTTTTTAATCTCCATTCAGGGTTATCGTGACAGCCAGTAAACACATCGCTGCATTAGGATGCTCCAGTCAGTGCTCGCTACTCTTTCTATGTTTCAGCCGCACATTCAGTGATGAGCGGTGGCCCCCAAAGGCACGAAACCTCTAGAGATAAGTATTTGTACCATTGACTTAAGGTTTTTGGATTTGAAATCAAAAGATGAGTGTGAAACAAAACGAGATGATGATCTTTTATTCTGCTGTTACACAGACATGGTGATGCTGAGCTGCTGTATCTGCAGCTGCAACCAGATCTCTGGTGTTTTGGGCGGTGACAGTGGCGTCATTTGTCAGAGGAGGAACGACACGCTGGACATCTGACATGTTCTCTATGAATATGTGCAACATATATTTAGTCTAAATGTTAAAACTGCTCGAGGACAGACGACTTACAGGAAGTAACTGCAGCTGACGACAAAATAAAAGAATCTACTGGAGCTGTGAAGAATCCCAACACAACAGTCTCCAGGGTGAGGGTGTGAGAGGACCATAACTCACAGCTCAGACAGCCAGCGGAGCAACGTTTAGGAGAATAACTGGACCAAACTGAGCTTTAATTAAAGTAATAAATGCCAACAGTGTGGCGCAAACAGGAACTGGCCCTGATCCTTTACGTCACCACTAAACCACGGCATGAACTAAAACTCTGTGTCTCATTATCATGTCCTGATGTCACATTTAAATCCCTAAAACGCAATAACAGCACATTTCCCACTGCTGTGTTCCTGCTGGAGGACGCTGTGCACATTCCAGCAGTCTGTGGATAGATGTTCCCAGGTAACACCAGCACCGTGTGAACAGACGTATCACCGTTACAGCCACCTGGGTTGACCTTAAACACCTGGCTGATGCTCCTACAGGTGTGTCACACAGCTCCAGGCTCTCCTGACTGACTTTACTTTATTACATGGCCATAATTAGTGGTCAGCGTGAGGAAACACTGGCCCCTGGTTGTATATTGCCCTTCTGGTTAGAACTGTATTTGAAAGAACCCTGGGATTGTTGTTAAATGACCCACATATTAAACAGCAGCCACTAGTTTGACTTCATTCTGGCTGTTTTAACTACAGCTGGACATGAGTTTGCTGTTACATCAGACTAATACTGACAGAAAATCATGAAACACTTCAACCACAAGTGGAAAGTTCTAACCAACACTGATGAGTGTTTTTAAACTGCTTAGTTGTCACTTTATAGGTATACATGTATATTTAATTAAATGTATTTAACTCTGAATGTGATATTTACTGAGATATTTCTTTGATATTTTGATTTTTTGATATAATTTTTTTGATATTTTGTTGTATCTCGTGTACAGTGATAATAAAGCTTCTCCTATTTATTGCTAATTTGACTATTTCTGATGTGTTCTGGTGTTTGTGTGACGTCCTCAGTGTGCAGCACCTTGTTGTCTTTGATTGTGTAGTGACAGAGGCTCTGCCGCTGTCCAAAGCGCTGCGGGATCTCCTGTGCGTTGGCGTCCGGGTCGACGCTGGCGTAAAACGACAGATCTCTGTCTATCTGAGGGAAGGACTGAGGACAGTGCATACGGGCCTCCCATTCAGAACCACTGGGCTGAGGACAGTGGCATCCCTCATGATAGACCGGACCTGCACAGGAAACACAAACACATCGTTCTCTTTTATTAGCTGATAAATAAGATCAGGTAAAGACTGAGATCTACCAGGTAGTTGTATGCTAGTTATATGACTAAACACATTTTCTCATCTCGACGGCGGCTTCAAGCGTATTCTACCTTTGAGAATAAACGGCGACTTGGCAACGTGCTTGTTCTGGAGCAAAATGTGGATGTGAAGGTCCGTGTAGGTGGCGTACATTCTGTAGCGGACCAGGAACGACCCATCCTGGCGATCCAGGACCTGGATCCAAATCCTGGTGAACGGCTCCACCGGAGACACGATCTTCACGTCGAAGGTCTTCTCACCGGGTGATGCTGTTAAACTGTGGAGGGAGGAGAACACGGAGAATGTTCTGCTGCTCACAGTGAAACCGTTCAGCGCCAGCTTCAGTCAAACATGAGGTTTAAGAGCATGTCTACAGAATACTGGTTGGTGTTCTCTGGCTTCACAAACCTCACCAGTGTAATCAACCTTAACCTCTGATAGTTAATGGACAACTGCAGTCCTTCTGCTTTATAAGGTTAATCAAACACTAACCCATAGTTTGTGTTGTATTGGTTCTGTTGTTCTATTCAGCACCTTTATGATGTATTTTAAAAGTGTTCATATACTTTGCTGCTCAAGAAAAGTCCACAGTTTGGCAGAAGAACTTCCTGGTTGCCTTGTGAGTGTGTTCAGTGTCATGCTGTTTGCCTCACGCATATAAAACCATCCATATTACTGCTCTGATGACCTCCTTAAAAAAAACAAAAAACATGGAATCATATCAGCAACATACTTTTACTTTACGTGGAACAAAGTTCTACTGTGGTGGACACGACTGGACCTGAGGATCAGCGCCTGTGTGGAAGTGATACCTGCTGAAGAACTACAAACAGACCGACCACCTTCGACATGAAAGAGGTCACTGGAGGTCGTCTAACACCTCTCTGCCCGGGGCCTCAACCTTCATGTCTGCTCTCCGGCTACTGACTGGTTTAAAATTTAAACTTTCAGACTTCACCCCCAAGTGGTCGATGGATTCACTGGACTGTCCTCACAGCACGGTCCACCAAACCTCTGATCCTAACAGATGTCCCACAACAACATCCTGCATTAACAAGACTGCAGGTTATGTTTTCACTCATGAATTTGGGAATTTTCGTTCTTTTTTTTTTTTTAATCAAAAAAATGACGTTTGAAGGATTTGGGGTTATGCTTAATTTAATATTTCACTTTAACCCTATCCAGGACTTTAATGTTTCCGTACGTAGAAGGTGCAAAATATCTGCTGGTATTCATTATAGACGTTTATACTGTCTTAAATACATTTTCTGGTATGTTGACGTATTTTTGGGTCCAAATGCACGACCAATGTCCCTCTTTTTATATTAAAAAAATCTTCAAAAATAAAAAAACAACCTAAATGTCCTGGGGTCCAACAGTCCTGAACAGGGTTAATGATGTGAACAAAAAATAACAGAATCTCATCCATGTGCTATTTTCAAAGCATTACAAACACTGAAAACTAAATGTAGACTCAATAAAACCTTTACTGGGGCTGCATATCTGCTAATATGATCTGTTGTTCTAATTATTACAGATTATAGGTTCTATAAAATGTTATTAAAGCATGACCTCTGGCTAAAAAAAGATGTTTTTATGTGTTAAATAAAGTTTGAGGGACCGATGCAGCCCCCACATGTGACTGAAGTGTTATGAGTGCATGAAAATGACTTGATTTTAAACATCACAGCTGAAACTAAATGTCTGTAAATGAGATTATTTCCTTTACTTATAATCCACACATGGTGGTAATTACAGTGTCATTCCTAAATATAAATGAGGATATTAGACACGCCAAAGCAGCACTATAATGAGCCTGTAACTGTAAATATCAAGTTCTTTGGTCACTTCTGTTCAGGTGAAGGAACCTTTCAGGACCACTGCTGTTGTTCTGGCTGTTGGTGGAGACAGAACCAGGTCTGGGTCTCTTTAAACAGCTTCTATATGAGGCTCGACCACAACCTGCTCATAAACAGAACCCGGGCTGTCTGCTCCCGGACCGGCGCCATAGCAGGCCGGGCCGAGCTCCACCTACTTTCTCCCCGAGCCGTCCACCGCCTGGATGTAGAAGAAGCGGGCCGGCAGCACCATGTCCGCCTCCAGGCCGGGTCCCCACACCAGAGTTCGGGCGGCACTGAGCGCCGGTTCTGCCTCCTCATGTCCGGACACCTCCAGGCAGAGCAGCAGCAGCAGGACCGGAGCGAGCCGCGGAGACATGACGGCAGCCGCCCCTCCTCTGCTCACGGAAGACTTTCCATCGCAGCCGCCGGTTTAACGGAATCACACGGAGGCGGACGCGCGTCCCACAGTTCTACTGTCGGTTCGCTGCGGTTCCATTTGGACTCACACGAGCCACATTGTCAGTACTGTGTGTCTGCTCACCACCAAACGTTCATGGTTCGGTTGTTTTAACGCGGTACCGGCCTCTCTGCTCGCTGTTCCCAAGTTCTTGTACAGACAGTCCAGTAAATATCCAGTTAAATGAACTCGCAGGAGGGGGCGGGATGAGGACGTGATTTAGAGATCTGATTGGCCGTCGCTCCACTGACTCTGGCTCCGATTGGCCAAAAGACGGAGCCAAATGAAGATGTGATTGGACAGAAACCCGGAAGTTGAACTCAGAGGTACATGCTGGTTGTGCAGCCGAGTGAATAATATGTGATTATGAATGTGGCTCAATTTCATAGACAGTGTCATTTAAAAAAACAAAAAACACAACGAATTAATAATTAGCAATTTGCTAATTAAAATAAATATATATCTTTTCTATATAATATATCCTCATTTTTGTATTCTATGCTTGCACTATTCTTTTTAATGTATTTTTATACTTGTGTACTTTTTCTTTCTAGTATGTGTGTGTCTCTGTGTGTACTGCTGCTGACAACAATGTGAATTCATCCAATGTGAGATAAATAAAGGCGGATCTTATCTTAAATATTCACGTTTTACTTAAGTTGAAATTCTAAACAAAAGTAATCCATTGCAATAAAAAAAAAAAGACTTCAGTACAAAAATATCCCTTTTTAGAGTTTGACTATTTTCTCTTCAGTCACTAAATCATTACTGCTACTATAGTGCAGTCATGTGTTTTATATTCTACTGTTGTTCCTGGTCAAGGTGGAGGTATTTTAATTTTTTTTTCTATACTGCTGCATAATTCTCACATGTTTTGTATAATACATCTTAATAAATACATTTTCCAGGTTAGTATGCACTCGTTGCCTTTAGATTATTGTAATATGAGGCTGTTACATTAAATTAAACTGAAAATCTCATGTAGAAGGGCTCCGATATGTGGATGGACTAAACAGTAAACTGCACATAAACAGAGCTGCTTCTGCCAGCAGTTTGCCTTCAACCAACCAGGACGGTTTGGGAGCTTTATGAAACTGTAAAATATCAAATGTCACACTGAAAATATAAAACTGACAGTTGCTGTAATAATAATAAAACCACGCTGGACTGATTGACGAGATAAAATCAGTCTCATGTATGTGAACGCCCACATGCACAATGAAAGTTTTGCATTCACCACAAACATCACGTCTACGTCCATGTAAATGACAGAAGTGGATTCTGGGTAGGGACCAGTGGAGCTGTGTACATCAATCAATGTTTATTTCAGTTTGCTTTTGCATCAACATATTTTCTGATCTTTTTTGTCAAGTAATTTCTATTACACTAGTATAATATCAAGAAGAACAAAAAGTGGTAGAATCCATTTAAATAAGACAAACTTTGCTGCCATCATTGAGAAAACCAAATAAACGCCTTTTCAGCAGACTACAGCGTGAAGAACTACATAGTTCCAGTGATTTAGACAGAGCCAGAATACCAGATACAGTACCAGCAGTAACAGGTACAACATATACAGAGAAAATATCCCAAGAATATCTTTTATCATTTTTTGTTTCACCGTTCACCCAAGATTGAACTGTACAGTTAATATAAAAACTGAAAACATACAAACCGAAAACATACTAACAAAACACCCTGTCAGCAGAAGTCTGATTTTTTTTCAATTTTATTTTGGTTTTGTTTTCTTTTTTTGTGTGTTTTCTCTGCCACTGAAAGAACTGCACTGAACACAAATCTCATTGACGGTACAGAGATAGGAGAGAAATGTATTATTAGCATTATTTTGACATGTTTAAGACACCCCATTGAATCAGATCATGTGTAATTCCTGAATTCCTCGTGGCTCGGCTTTAGGAGTTCAGGTGAACTGAGTTAACGTAAATGGGTGTGAAGGCCATCGAAGCCTGAGGAATGTTTCAGCAGCCTGACAGGAAGCAGGCAGGACGACGAGCGACGCAGATTCATTTGTGTCTGTCGATTTATTTTTTATTTTTTAAGCTCCGAGTGCGCTGCTGTGCCTATTTTATGCAACGTCGACATGGTCATTACTTTATGTGTGTCGATGCTCAGGAAGGTCTGATGTGTGAGAGATGGACATCAATAAGCCTCCGTTTGATTTTTCAGATCAGTTCAAAATACAGACGAATACACGAGTACAAAACATCCTCCTCACTGAATGCTGTTTGTCCGTGTTGCGTGGCTACCCACTGACGCACAACACAATCACAATATGATACACGACCAGGTATCATGGAACATTTGCTGATTTTTAAAATACAAGAGCCTTCAGTTAAGAGGCCGTTACCATCAAATATAGGACTGCGACACAAGGATATCATAGTCATCAAGAACAATATTGAAAAAAAAACCAAAAAACCCTAAAACATATTTGCCTTCGGTTGAAATTGTCGCGAATGTTTTACACATGTACATAGTTTCTTCACTGACTCAACATCTGAACATCACTAAGAAAAAGATCACTTCTCCGATAAACAACTGGTGAGGGAGTCGGTGGAGATCAAACAGATGTGATTCCAACTCCTGTTCGTCACGCGGACAGCGTTTCGTCTGTCGTCGCGAAACGAGGACCGCTCGGGTTTAACGCACAAACCACACGACCGAGGAGGTGGAGCGAGATGGGAGGGTGTCATTCAGTTTGATTGCTTTGGCAGAGAAAGAGTCCGATTGAACATTTGTGGTACTCTTTCTCTCTCACACTCACACACACACACACTCACACACACACACGATCTAATGGCTCACTGAACTCATACGTCTGACAAAGGCAGCTAAAGACTCAAACGGCGATCCAGTGACAATCAAAAGAAAGGAAATAAAAACACCCTCATAGTTTGTTTTTCGACTTGTTTAGCTTCGATATATTCCCTCTACGACCGAGTATCACGTCTGTTCAGGAAAACTGTGACGACTACCACTTGTTAGCTCTTTATTAGTTAGTTTGCAGTGAGTGGATTCCTCCATCTTGGTTTTTATGGCACGTGAATAGTACACAGGTTTATACTGTCGATATAAACACACTGTTCAGAATATGCCTGCATCTCTCACACCAGCCTCTGGTCTCAAACAACTCGGGGGCAGCGAGATATCCCTCGCCGTCGTTTAATGCTTTTGTAAGTAGCAGCAGCAGCCGAAAAGTGAAACTAGATCAGTGTGATTAGACTGTGCAGAGTTAAGTGTTAATAATACTGATTTATATTTGCACTGTGCAGCCCAGAGTAATTGAAGTAAGAACAAAGTTTTAGCGTTATTCTACGTTTGTGAAGAGAACGTTAACTATGTGCATTTATACTGTGTCAAGTAATATTTGCAGAGACTAAGAAAAAAAAAGAAAATCAACTAAAAAAAGGAAAATAAAAAAAGGGAAAGTAACACAAGTTTTGGCTTAATAGCAATGCAGGTATACATTTCCCTTTTTATATATAGTTTTTGTCAATATCTCAAAAAATATAAAGTTTTTCATAGTTTCTGTCGTTGGCTTACATCATAAATAAAACTTTTTTTTTTTCCGTTATTTTTGAATCTCCTGTTAAAGTCGCATGCTGCTTTTTAATATGGCAGTTGTATATTTTAATAGTCATCCATTGTTGTTTCATGCATTTCTTGTTGGTTTCTTAACTTTTGAGTATCTACACAGTAAGGTCCAGAAAACCCAACCACACGGGCTCACACACACACACACACACACTCACACACACACACACACACACACACACACACACACACGTTTTCCAGTTCCATCTTCAGACCTTCGGATGCCGCCGTCCTCCCTCCGTCCCCGTCATCGCGTGTCCAGACGAGGAACTCGCCCGTCCTCGTCATTCAGCAGCGAGACAGCGCCGTACAGTCAGAAGCCATAAAGACAAAGTCACTCCGGTGTCTCTCTGTTAATTGCTTTCATTTTTAAAGTGAAAGTCACGTCGCGGCATAAAGTTCCCAGCAGTCCAAGGGCAGCCCCGGCCCGCCGTCCTGCTATTAGAACTGGTACCACTTCTTGTCCTTGCACTTCAGCATCAGCTGGAAAAAGACAAAGACGGTCGACGGTGAGGAATGAAAGGTTATCGCAGCCGCATCACTCCTAGAACAGATTTATTAACTGTTGTATAAACCATATTTAACCCTCAGTGTGATGATGCTGGATTAAATCATACGATTGTATTTTATGGTACATTGTCGTGGAAAAGACGTGGATTTGATGTGAACAATGGAGGGAATTTCCTTTCTTTAGCAGCTTCAATGGAATTAAAACTAATTAATAATCCTTAATATTATTAAAAACAACATGAACAGAAAAAAGCTTTAGCTACAGTTGTCCTCAGATGTGTTCATACCCTCCTGTTAAAGAAGGAAACAAACAGCGGTCACTGAAATAAGCTGACAAAGGTAATAAAAAATAAAAATGTAATGAAATCATGACGTTGCTTTTGAATTGTGGTTCAACAGAAGCATTAAAAAAATACAATTTTTTAAAAATCATTCTTTTCAACCACAATTCAAAAGCAACATCTCATTTCACTAAATCATAATTTAGCTAATTTTTATTATTTATTATTTCTTTGTTCAGTTTCTAGTTATTTGAGCGACTGTTGTGGATTTTGCCTTTTCTTTAGTGGAAGGATATGAATACATCTGACTGGACATTTTAATGGAGGAGCTTCTTCACTTTAGAAAGCATCTATTTATACGTTTTTAAACTTTCCCATCAGATTTACTTATGGACAGATTCTAGCCTGGATCTGTGGCCTTGGCTTCACCTCGTGAGCGTGTTTGGAGAAGGTCTCTGCGCTGGTCATCATGAGGGCGGTTCGCTCCTCCAGCTCGCCCAGCCGCTGGCCTCGCTCATCCAGAGCGATACGAGCTCGTGCCAACTCGCCCACCGCTCCGCTCGCCGCGACCTTCATGCCCTCCACCCCTCCCTGCCCGGGGATGTGCTGCGCCAGGCTCCGGGAAGCCTTACCGGCTGCTGCTTCGCCAACTGTTGACAGCAGCAGGTGGAAAAAAGAAGCAGAGGAAATGACAGAGGTTCAGAGACGTGTTGGCTGTGGCGTCTTTTACTGCGACTGGACGGTTCCAACCATTAACGTATTGTTGTTAATTACTGATGTCAAAGTGAGTGAACACATACAGGAACGAAAAGAGGCGAAACAGACCAGGAGTAAAATAAACAAACGCACAAAGCTCTTCTCTGTCGAAGGTGTGGGCATTTCCTCCAAAGAAGCCCTTCAAGAATCCTCTGTTCTGGGCTTCTGGTGTTTCTATTGGTGTAAACAGCTCGCCCAGCATTTCCTGCAACGAATGAAAACATTCTGAGTCGTTGCACAAGAGACGTAAAATATCTGCCTGTTCATACAGCAGTCATCACTAGTTATCTTTAGTGTCACTTACTTTTATGACCTTTGGAAAAGATGCATTAGTGCCTATACATACATATTTATATATATATACATACATATATCTTCTGACTGTCGGTTCTACTGGAATTCTACCCGTCTACATGCACAGACAACCAGAACCCACACAGAACCCCCTGCTGCCTGTAGATGGCACTATGGCAGCATCACATCACTGGCTCTGCTCTCAGCAGTGAGGTGATGGGTCTGAGTGGACGTGAACACGCCTGTATGTGTATATGCACACGCCTGTGAAACCGTCTCCATATTAGACCCAGCAGGGTTCATACCACATATGACAAGTGTGACATTTCACTTCAATGGCTTCTGTCAGCTCTGGGTGTCACCACGGTGGGAATAATGGCCGCTGCTTATTTACCACAACGATACGTTCCTGAACTCACAACCAGAATGTGACATAATTCAGATTGTCAGTCGAACAATTTTTTGTTTTCTTTGGTCACACGCAGAAGATCTAATGACAGCAAGAACATTAAGGAAATCCTCATCTGTACATCAACACGTGCACGGAAGCCATTCATAAACCACGCCGCTGTTAGATCGATGCTGACAGACACACGAGCTGCAGCGCTGACCTGCAGGTTGTCGCACATCTCCTGGCTGTATGTGATTCTCTGGATCTCTGTGGGGGAGCTGAGGTATAGCGCCTGCCCCCCGTTGGTGAAGCAGAAGGTTCTGGCGATGCGCATGTCCGTCAGAGGCAGGTAATTAACATCCATCAGTGGCCTTAAACTGGGCAAGCTGTGGGCACAAGGAGGAGACGAGTGGAAGACAAGTTAGAAATCAGGAATGTTTGTCTGACATCATGCAAAGTAAACCACGCCACAGAAAAACAGTTATCTTCACTTTTCATCCAATGTTTAGTCCATCTTTAGTAAAAGAAAGCAGTTAATTGAGAGTGAACAGATAGAAAACTGCCTCCAGTCTTACAACGCGCCTCTCACAGCTATAAATAAAACATCCGTCTGATCACGTGACATCAAACTGCATTCTGAGAGGTATAAATAAAACCAGACAACTGGTGCCACCAATTAGCTTCCCACCAAGTAGAAAGGACTTTTCTCTACATGCTGTTATGTGTCAGTGGCAGAAAAAAGCATTCTCATCTTTATCCCATGGTGTGTTTGAAAAATAAAGATGAATTAGTCAAATTAAATTATTCTAATCTGTCACTGTATTTGATGTTGGGACTCAAATGCAAAACCAGCGGGATCTCTACTGTTACATCATGACTGGTGTCGTTCTCGTGTAAACCAAAACCTGCAGACAAACATGAGCCAGCAGCACAGGAAGATAAGTTCATGGATGTTAGTTTCAACACGTGAGCGTCTGAGGTCGTACCTGAGCGTCATGACGTGTCCGTTAGCGCAGAAGCAGGCCAGGCACACGCTGTTGCACACGGATACCACGTCGGCTCGCAGCACGAAGGACGACTCCGTGATGTTGTGGACGAAGAGGCAGGACTGCGAGGGCATCAGGAAAACCTTGGCCTGCCTCTCGGAGCACACCACCGCCAAGTGACCGTCTCCGCAGGCGTCCTGGGAGGACGATGGCGAGAAGTGGACCAGCTTACGCCTTCGCGGCCGGTCGGGGTCCTCGGGGGCGTTGAGGTCCCGCCAAACCTCGTAGGGACTCTGAATGAGAGCTCCCATGCAGTCCAAGAAGGCGAAGCGCAGCACGGAGCCCTTCAGCATCAGGACAGCTCCTGGGAGGGTTCGGGGAGAGTCGAGAGGAAAGACTAAAACCTCCAGAGCATCAGCAGCACAAGCCCAGAAGGTGCTGGAAGCAGAACAGCTGTACACTGACCTCCATCCACATCTCTGTGAAATGACACTCAGAATGTCAGTATAAATGGATGATGCCAGTTTTTGGGCCGTTTTTCATTCCCGTCACTTTTTACCTTGAACTCCTTTTGTTTTTACTGTCATAAAAAACCGTGCGTCGCTATGGCAACAGCACAAGCGTGACTAGAAGTAGAGAGAACTGAACAAAGTAGTTCACAGCTGCCATGAATCAGAAAAAAATAAATCAATTAAAAACTGGGAATCAACATGAGCTTTTTTGTTTTACCAAAACAGAGAAAAATGGCGACTCTACGTACTCTGGACATTTTATTATTTATATCTCTAATTTGTTGGTCACATTATGGGATTCTTAGTTGCACAGAGGAGCTCAGAAATGTTAGAATTTTATAGAATCTAGTTACTTTATTTTTGAGAGTTTATATTTTTAGTATAATTAAATGATTTTGGTGAAAAGTTTTGATCATATTAGGTTCTCTAGAAGAATGACACGTCACTGATGAGCAGCTGAAAGTCCGACTGTTCTTTCTGCTTTTACAGTTTCCAGCCCTGGTCAGCGGTGTGTTTTTGCTCATTTAGCAAAATGCCTTTTAAAGCCGACAGCAGGTTTGGGGTTCAGACGGTTAAACAATCACAGAGGTTCATGTATTCAGATTTTGGAGCCTCGTATAAGTTGCTATCTGCTGTTGGCAGCTAAGTTATCCATTACTAACACACACCAGAGTCCGCTGGTGTGTTTGATTTAAAAACAACATTTGCTGTGTATAAAATGATCCACCATCCGTTGGAAATCCACAGCAGGACTTAAAGAGCACACGGGGAGATTTTAACAACACCTGCATTTCTTTTTTCTTTTTTAGATAGATGACAGTAGAGAGAGACAGGAAACATGGGGAGAAGAGTCGGGGTAGGACCTGCAGTAAATGGTCATGGGCCGGACTTGAACCCACAACCTCTGCATCGGGGACCACAGCCCTGTTCATGGGTCGCCCACCCAACCTGTTGAGCTGTCCAGGGTCCAACACTTGCATTTGTTTTCTATAATGAAGCTGAATCTATGACAGCGACCAGCTTCCTTCTTGGACATTCAGTCTCAGGAGAACAACTGCTGCATCAGATGAACTGGACTTTTTGGTTTTTTTTTTACTGCGAGTAGGAAACCTGTTTGTCCACATGCAGGGTTTCTGTGGTAGTAACGGACGTCTTTGTTTTATTTACTCAGACGGCAGAAAACAACCGGGGATGTAAAATCTGACTCTGGAGGACAGAAGGAAGCATTTTAGGGTCACGCATAGCGAAGGCTCATCAAAGCTTCCAATGACAAGAAATTTCACCTAATTGAAACAAATTAGGTCCCAGAAGCTTTTTAAGCATGAGTAAGACAAAATGCTGCTTTGGCAGCTTAACACGATGCACTTTATTCCTCAGGAATCGACCTGCTCTCGTTCTAAAAGCTCTGCAGCAGCACGGCTTTTTGTCTGACGTCTGAGTCGACCTCTTGTGTCCATTACAGACGTTTCAAGTGGAAACGGGATGAAAGACGGTTTTACACAGATCCAGGTTTCTGGTGTGAGAGGATTCAGTACGTACTTATAGATTTATATTGAGGAATGACTTGTTCACATGATAGTAATATTAAAAAAAAATCCTATTTTAACATATTAAGCAGTTAAAGAGTGGCCTTGTTGTCCTGATCAAACTGATGACTACTTTGAGTCGGGCCCAGTTTATTCCCATGGAGCCCTGCTGTGGACGTTTAAAGACAAACTGCTAAACGACGGGAAACTGTGTCGTCCATTCATTACATTTTCATCAAGCAAATTCAAACATTAAAAATTCACACGAGGCTTTGTGTGTGTCACGTGGAGCGTGGAAACTATTATCACAGTGTCAGATCCACACATTAACCAGAAACGCTTAATAAAAGGGACGAAATGACGCCGCAGTTCAGTTAATTAGGTTCATCATGGAAGCGTACTGCTGCTGCATGTGAACAAAATAAGACAAAAAGGGAAAAGTTTATAACAAGGTTTTTAAATGCTTTTTTTTAAACATTATGATATATAAACGTAACTATAAAACGAAACATCTGAAAGTCCTGTTTGAATGAGGCGTGCAGGAAATGTGTAAATTAAGGCATATGCACCGTTTACATGATCTGATTAAGTCCTGCTTCATGCTCGGTTTGAGTCGTGGTGGGATTCTGCTGTTACTGATGGATGATATGATGGATGTGAGCAGCCTTCAGGGCTCCACCTCCTCACCCCCGTGCATTTTAAAACCCCTCTTTGTGGACGCACACTTAAAACAACGTCCTCCATCCGTCTCAGTAACGTGTCACCGTGACTCGGCCAAAGCATGAAGCGGAACGGAATCGAATCATGTAAGACAAATTCCTCAATTTATCTCGTCTCCGCACACCTCGTCCACATACGAGTTTCACATTAATGTCAGTAATCACGTTATGACATGAAGGGCTTCGTGTCGACTATCTATTGTTGTAACTAGAAAAGAGTTTTAACGATGTCACGTGAGAACATCGTGTAACATAAAAACATCAGATTACATCTTGTTCGAACAACAAACTTTTCTAATTTTTCTTCCATAGTTTGTAGCTTGTGATTAGTACCAGTGAGTAAATAGTCTGTAAATACCACTAAGATTAAAATAAGCACAAAACTGATGTCATATTTATTTCATTATTTTAAATGCATTCATTCTCAACATTTTAAATTTACTACATCTTCATACTGATTTTGTCAAAGCTCAGAGCTCTTTTATGCCTTTTTATAAGAGAATGAATCTGATTCAGGATGTAGAAAAACTTCTTAGCGATGACAATGTTGTAGTTTTTGCGTTGTGGGAACGTGTGTCTGTGATCTCACCAGAAATATTGCTGAGATTAGAGAGCAGCTCTGGTTACCCTGGTACTCACCGCTGGGCCCGATGGTGACGGGTTCCTCCATCCTCTCCTCCTGGTCGGTGGGAATGGACATGGGGATGAGCAGGACCACGCCTAAGCTAGTGCCCACCCACAGACACGGGGTGGGCAGGGCGTCGCTCTTGCGCCCGTAGGACTCCCCGAACTGCAGCGTGGTGACGGCCTCCTTGGTGTCCCGGTCGATGCTGGACACGCTGGAGCTGCGCGAGCGGCTGAAGGAGTTCTCGCGACTCTCTAAAGCCGCCAAACGTAGAGGCGAGGCACAGGCCCGAACAATGCAAGAGAGGAGAGAGACGTGAAGCGACGACACGAGGAGGACGAGGAAGGGCGAGAGAGAGAAGAGAGAACGTGTTGGAGGGTGGATGTGTATGGTGACGGTTAAAGAGTGGCGGAGCAGAACGGTAACATGGTGAGAGGGTAGAGGTGTGAGAGGACACGCAGGTCAGAAGAAGAAGAAGAAGGAAGCAGACAGTGAGGAGAGGAGTGATGAGGGGGTGACAGGTATTGTTTTAAGAAAGTCAACAGAAATAAGCATTTCCTGCAGATTGTATGTAAAACACTGGAACAAAGATGCCACTGAACAGATGTGAGACACCGAGACGCAAAGTGATCCATCATTACAGAGAGACAGCTGGACAGAAACATGCTGTCACACACACACACAC